AGGGAAGAAAAAAAAGAAAAGAGAAAGGAGGTGGGGTATGAGGCCAGCGCTAGAATGCCATACTGCTGGCTTTCCAAAACTCTAATTTTGAATGTTTTTATCTCTACAAAATACACATTTTGCCAATACGTTTCTGGTCACAATTCCAATTCACGGTTCAGGTCCGGCCTACCTTCGCAACCGCATTTTCCCTATGAACCAGCGTGGAACCTAAGATCTGCTGGGAGGCCCTTTTCTCACTCCTGCCACTGTCACAAGCACAGTTGGTAGGGAGGAGAGAGAGAGCCTTCTTAGTGATGGTCCCTTGGCTCTGGAACTCCCTCCCCAGGAAGATTAAGTTAGCACCCATTCTGTCCACCTTCCACAGGGGTGTTTGATAATAGTTAGGCCTCTGTCTATGAATGTCCAGCCCAAAATGACCATTACAGTGAACTTAGCACTTTATCCCACCCCTAGTCCTATAATCGACTTTTTGCACAAGCCCATGCATAGCTCTCTCCAACTTCTGAACTTGCCCACCTTGTCTCTGGTTCTAGTTATGGAAGTTTGTTTTGTTTCGTTTTAATTGTTGTTTTTATATTCTGCTTTTTAAAATTATATTAATCAGATTGTTATAGGTGTTTTATTTTTTAAAATGTGTTTTTAGTTTGTAAACTTCGTTGTGCTGGACTTGGTCCCACTTGTAAGTTGCCCCGAGTCCCTTCATGGAAATGGTGGCGGGATATAAAAATAAAGTAATAGTAGTAGTAGTAGTTATTATTATTATTATTATTATTATTATTATGCCTAAAACCTCTGCAACTATACCTCATTTTCCTTTTAATTTTGTTTTAACTACTGTGTTTACATAAGGGAGAAATCTGTTGTTTCATTCTACATTTTTAAGACTCACCAAATTCTAAGTGTAAAAATTGGACTTTTGAAAAAAGTTGTTGAATTTTATCTGTGTTATCGCTGTTATTTCTGACTTTTATGAGTCTAAAGTGAACCTGTCACAGGGTTTTCTTGACATATTTGTTCAGAGAGATGATGGCCACTGCTTTCCTCTGAGGCTGAGAGAGTGTGATGAGCCAAATCCCATTCATTAGGTTTCCATGCCTAAGCAGGGATTCAACCCCTGGTGTTCCATAGCTTTTATTCATGGTATGGACAAGTAAATAAATAGGAACTTTGGGGGCTATTCGGCAGGTTAGAAGTTTGAAGCCTTAGTTGAAGTATACATTAAATGTGTTGTCGTTTATTAATTACTGAGATTTAATTATAGAATATGGGTAGCTGACTATCCCAATTGTTGGAAAGAGATGTGTTCAAGGAGGTTGAAACATTCTGTTGCAGAAATAATCAGGGAGGCGTTAATCCACTCCAAAGTCACTTCTTGTAGCCATGGAGACAAATGTAATCAAACCTTTTTCCTCCTCCTGGCTTTTGATTAGAGACACTATTGACTTACGGCTTTGGAGAATTGGTGAGCAGCATGCCAAATGCCAGAAGATGGAAATTAATCACTAAGTGATTGGTCTGAATTCCACTGATTTGGAAAAATGAAGGGCTTTTTCATCTTCTTAAAGAACCACATGAGATACACTTCACACTTTTTCAAAAGTATTGGGTTTTTTTAAAAAAAAAATCTTTGAATATTTCACAACTGAAATAATTCTTAAAGCAGTAAGTGTCTTTCAGTCTTAAATTTTCTTCTTAGTATTCTGACTATTTCAATTGAAAGAGACTGAGAAATCAAGAAACTTCCTTTTGAGATGGAAGGTCTTCAGATGATAAAGTTTCCTGTGACCGCTGTACGCACCTCTCCTACATTTCTCCTATTAAATTTGCTGCAAATTATTAGAATGCAACCTGCATACTACCATGTTAGCTACTACTTACCTCAAAATCTCTAGGCCATCAAGTGTGATCTCTGTGGTCAAATGTTGGCAAACCCACTAGAGAACCTAGACATGCCTAGAGGGAACATTTAATCGAATCCATGAATAATAAAGTTTCCAAAAGTCAGAGTAGTCTATAGAGAGGTCTGACAGTAGTTCGTTTTAAGCTAATAACCATAAGATCTTGAAAAACGGATTGTTTTGATTCCCTTGCCTCCCTTGAGTGAAAACCTATCATTGTCCTTGATCTTATGCTGTTAGAGGAGTCTTACCTTTCTTTCCTCTGAATGAATTCTGGAATAGTCTCCTGGCCTTCATGTCCTATGAAGCAGCAGTTCTATAGAAAATAGGGAATATCCCTAGGGTTAGGAAAATGTCTTGGCTGGCTATTGATGAAGTGTTCTCTCTAAACTACAAACATGCCTTTGCCAAGACCAGGGTTGTATTCCCACTACATAATTATAGCACTTCAATACAACTTTAAGTGACATGGCTCCATCCTCCAAATTACTGGGATAGAATTTTATGAGGTACACATTGATTACTCCTTATCCAAAATGCTTGAGATCAGAGATGTTTTGGATCTTAGTTTTTTTAAATACCTTTTTATTGTGACAGAAGCGACTTGAGATAACTGCAACTCGCTTCTGGTGTGAGAGAATTGACCACCTGCAGAGATGTTGCCCAGGGAATGCCCAGAAGTTTTACCATCCTGAGGGAGGCTTTTCTCATGTCCCCACATGGGAAGATGAGGCTGACAGATTGGAGCTCACCCCATCTTGCAGATTCGAACCGCCAACCTTGAGGGCAGCAGTTCAGCCAGCACAAGGGTTTAACCCATTGCACCACCGCGGCTCCTTTTTTCATACCTGTATTTTTATATATGCACATTATGAAGTATCTTCGAGATGGGATCAAGGTCCAAATACCCTATTTCAGATTTTGAATTCTGGATAAGGGATGCTGAGTCTGTATTAAAAATTATTTTTAAATTGTTAAAAGAGTATAGCCATGCAGCATGGGTAAATTCTAGGACATTGGCACGAACCCTTTCAGCATGATGGTAGCCCTAGAGCAGGCATTGGCAAACTTTGGCCCTTCAGCTGGCTGGAATTGTTTGCACATGCTGCAATCGCCTCATATGAGAGTGGATCTTTAGGACATCCATAGACTACATATTTTATGTAACATGGGGTCCTTTCACATCATACAATGATAGCACCATGATTCCATTTTCACTTCTTTGGCTTCATCCTATAGAAATCTGGCATTTATTGACTCTAGAGCTCTCTGATTGAGAATTTGAGATGTTTCTTCCAAAACTGAAATTCTAGGATTCCATAAGCAGCTGAAATGGAATTGGTTGTGATTATATATAGTTGAACCTTTTCTCCAAATAATTTTATTAAATATTTGCTAGAACAGTAGGAGGTATGGGGACAAGGGAAGGAAAAGGAAACATTTGGGGATGATGGAATCATAGCGTGTGAAGAGACCTTGTGGGCCATCGCATCCAACCCCTGCCAAGAAGTAAGAAAAGCACCCCCAACAGATGGTCATCCGGCCTCTGTTTAAAAACCTCCAAAGAAGGAGCCTCCACAACACTCCAGGGCAGAATGTTCCACTGCTGAACAGTTCTCACAGTTAGGAAGTTTTTCCTAGCGTTCAGGTGGAATCTCCTTTCCTGTGGTTTGAAGCCATAGTTTCATGTCCTAATCTCCAGGGCAGCAGGAAATAGATTAGTTATTGGTTAGTTACTTCTTTACAAATGTTTAATATGTCGCAAGGAGAAAACAAAGAGAGTGAGGGTTGTTGAGGTATGGGGAGTTCTTCTACACAATTATCATTGTTACAACTAAGTCTTTGTCTCTATTTCTTTAACAGATATTTCATAAAATATTGAGTGTTCTAACCATTTTAGTTTTAAGTTTATTGGTTGTAACTTCTTATTGTCTCCTGGTCTTCATATAATCTTTTCCAGTTCTTCTTCAATGGAAATTGATCTAAATTTTTCATTACAGATTATTTCACATTAAATATTTCATTAAATTATTTATTATTAATATCTGCAGAGAAGGTTCAACGATTTTCATTTAGGTTGTTAGTAGGTTAGTATTTATTTAGGCATTGTTTTGGTGATTTTTGTTGTTTATTCATTTAGTCGCGTCCGACTTGTTGTGACTTCATGGACCAGCCCTAGCCAGAGCTTCCTGTCGGCCCATTGCTACCCCCAGCTCCTTCAGGTTCAAGCCAGTCACTTGGTTTTGATTATATTCAGTTTTTATTTTTGATTATTTTTCCTGTTTCAGGGTTCCAGCCACTATGCACTCAAAGTGGCAAAACACAGCTATGCTTCTTAGAGAGGCTTGTTCTTATGCTCATCATATAGTAATCTATCCTGAAACAAGTCATGATGGCTACTTCTATAAAAATCAGAGCAAAGAAACAGTTAAAAACATTGGGCCTAGGACATATAAAGTATAATTTGTTTGACTGAGATTTTAATACTGCACTGTCATCTTCTGTCAAGAAACTAATATGATGCCTCTTCTAAAACAAACTTAGGACAGAATATGTCTTTTCCCCAGACTTTTTTTACTATTAATTGTGGAGGTAGAGGTCTTAATCATGCAGGGATAAAAGCTGGTTTGCTTAATTTTTTGTTGCAGAATGGTACTAGATTAGCACTGCTGTATTTTAAAAATTAGATGCTAGAAGTTTAAAACCGCCCATCTCTGATTTTGTTTTCAACAGCAAAAAGAAAATTAACAGTTTTGGCATCTGTCAGACAGGCTTATTTATCTTTCAATGTGGCTAGAATAATAGGAATAATTTTGATTTGGTGTTTGTGTGTCTCGGAGAGAGAAAAGTTTCCGGAAAACTTCTAAACACATTAGAAGTTAACAACCATTTCTTTGTTTTTTGCACCATCTCAGAATTCCCCAATCCCTTCAAAATACCACAACCCAAATACAGTAAGTAGCATCTAAACGAAAAATTTGTGGAAAGTAATGTGAGATCACTGGTTGTTCATGAAAATTAGGTAGTATTATTTCTGAGAAATGTAGGGAATGCATGTCATTTTAAATTTTAAATCTTTTTTAAAATTCTACTTCACAGAGTATTGGGAAGGGGTCTTTATGGTGTATAGACCCAGAATACAGACAAAATCTTATCCAGGCTTTGAAAAAGACTCCCTATCATCCGTATTCACACGTATTCACCACACCTCCAGCATCTCCTCAGGCATATCAAAGGTAAGAAAACATGAATATACTATTATATGGGTTGTTGTTGTATCTCTTTTTAATACTTAGTTGGACATAAAAATAAAAAATGAATTGATTTCAATCTACTTTTTTAAGAGTCCCTCTGTTTCACCAAGATGCCTTCTTGGGTTTGTTAAAGTTAAGACACTATTGGTCTGAAATAAATGATTCTATATTTTCAACCTTACTTCACAGTATTATAGGTTTAAATCAAGTTCTACTTAGTTTTGTACCTGCTCCAGTCATGGATAAGTAGATTTCAGTTTATCCTTTTCCTGCTCCTGATCTAAAATAATATGATGGTTGTGAAAGTATAATAGACTCCCATGCGACCGATGTTTTAAGTTTTTGCTTAGATCTATAATATTTCTTACCGTTATTGGCAGAACTCGGGTGTCGTTTGCAATGCTTCTGTGCTCATTTCCGGAAAAAAAGAAATCTGTTCTTCTGTACTCATGGCTGATTTCAGAAAATATATGCGAAAAGAATCAAGGATTTCCTCTTCTTGCTCCCACAAATAAATCTGCATCTTTCTGAGAACAAGGTGCTGCTGAATTTTCTATTATAGTTTGGCATTTGTAGCATTGCTTTGTCAATGCAGCTATCAAGTCCGTTGTAAACTCTTGCTTCCAAGTGACTACATGTTAGTTTTGTTGTTGAGTTATTTTCTCTCTTGTTGTAGTTACCTTCTCTGTGAGGCGAGTGTGGTTATGTCAGTTGCCATGGCGCCTTCTTGTTCACTTTCTTAAAAGAGCAAACCAGGACTGGTGAACTCAAAAGAATCATAGATTCATAGAGTTAAAAGAGACCTCATGGATCATCCAGTCCAACCTCCTGCCAAGAAGCAGGAAAATTGCATTCAAAGCACCCCCGACAGATGGCCACCCAGCCTCTGCTTAAACGCCTCCAAAGAAGGAGCCCCCACCACACCCCAGGGCAGAGAGTTCCACTGTTGAACAGCTCTCACATTCTGGAAGTTCTTCCTAATATTCAGGTGGAATCTCCTTTCCTGTGGTTTGCAAGCATTGTTTCGCATCCTAGTTTCCAGGCCAGCAGAAAACAAGCTTGCTCTCTCCTCCCTATGACCTCACCTCACATATTTATACATCGCCATCATGTCTCTTCTCAATCTTCTCTTCTGCAGGCTAAAATGCCCAGCTCTTTAAACCACTCCTCATAGGGCTTCTTCTCCAGACCCTTGATGATTCTATTCACCCTCCTTTGGACACATTCCAGCTTGTCAACATCTTCCTTAAATTGCGGTGCCCAGAATTGGACACAGTATTCCCGATGTGGTTTGACCAAGGCAGAATAGAGGGGTAGCATGACTTCCCTGGATCTAGACACTGTACTCCTATAGTGGGTTAGCTTTGTTTATGTAAAGCAAGGGCAAAGAGATGCTTATGGAATATCAGGTCTGCTGTGCTTCCGAGTAACCACCACGGAAAGACTTGAGTTCTCCCAGAAATTCAGGATCAAGTCACTATGTCAGTGGTTCCCAACTTTTGGGCCTCCAGGTGTTTTGGGCTTCAACTCCCAGAAATCCCAGCTAGCTTACCAGCTGTCAGTAATTGTGGTAGCTGAAGTCCAAAACATCTGGAGACCCAAAGGTTGGGAACCACCGCACTATAACAATTGCCCTAAATACCCACGTATAGGTCTAGAAATGTTTGCCAAAAATATCCACCCCAAAAGATTGGGTCAACTTATGGCATGGGTCAATGTGAATACTATACATTTACTTATCAAAAAAAATCACAGTGTGCTTGGCTCTTTCTGGGAGATCCTAAAAGAAGAACATCTCTGCCACTTATGGCCCTTTTGAATACCTGGTAGTAGGCATTTTTAAAAGGCCAAAAAGTGCTGGTTTTTTTCCCCTTTTCCCCAGATTATTATTTATTTATTTATTTATTTGGAGCATTTATTAACCGCCATTCTCAGCCCACTCGGGCGACTCACGGCGGTGTACAGTACAAAAGGCAATTCACACAAAGACAAGTACAACAGCATATTCACCATACAACAATACAACAGTTAAAATTACACTAACTAATCCGCTTCGTCTCGTAATAAAATCGTGACCAATCTCGTATTCCTTGTACCATTCCAGTCGTCTTTACCACATTACTATAGCACTTAATTAAATGCCCTCTCGAACAGCCACGTCTTGAGGCTTTTTCGGAAGGACAAAAGAGAGGGCGCCTGCCTGATGTCTGTAGGGAGAGTGTTCCACAACCGGGGGGCCACCACTGAGAAGGCCCTCTCTCTCGTCCCCGCCAGGCGTGCCTGTGAGGCAGGCGGGATCGAGAGAAGGGCCTCCCCAGACGATCTCAAGGTCCTCGTGGGCTCATAGGCCAAGATGCGGTCTGAAAGGTATTTTGGGCCGGAGCCGTTCAGGGCTTTGTAGGCCAACACCAGCACCTTAAATTGGGCCCGGTAGCAAATATTATTATTGATATGTTTATTTATGGCATGCTTTTTCCTCTCCAAAAAAAAAAGAGAGACTCTTAAGAGAGAATAAACTCTGCTTTATCCACAGGGCGTATAAAAAATCCATTGTTCTGGCCGCAAAACCTTCCCTTGTCTCATACATGGGCTTATATCAGGTATGGGCCAACTTGGGCTCTCCAGGTGTTTTGGAGTTCAACTCCCACAATTCCTAACAGCCTCAGACCCCTTCCTTGGTCACTGAACCAATCCCATGGTCTGCAGCCCCTCCCACTGCCTCAAGTAGATAGAGCCAAGAAAACGGCAAACCACTTCAGGAAATACATGACACATTATAAACAGGCAAAACCAGGCTTGAGAAGGTTGCTATCTCAAACACTAAGAGCCTCAGCAACTGAGGGGGGAAAGGAAAGGAAAGGGCCTGAGGCTGTTAGGAATTGTAGGAGTTGAAATCCAAAATACCTGGAGGGCCCAAGTTGGCCCATGCCTGGCCTATATGGTAACATAATATTATAAAATAGTAATAAGAGAATTCCATGTAGACCAGTGGTTCTCAACCTTCCAAATGGTGCGACCCCTTACTATAGTTCCTCATGTTGTGATGACCCCCAACTATAACATTATTTTAGTTGCTACTACTCTGTTACAAATCGTAATCCTTTCAGATATGCAGGATGTATTTTCATTCACTGTACAAAATTTGGCACAAATACCCAATACACCCAAATTTGAATATTGGTGGGGTTGGGGGGATTGTTTTTGTCATTTTGGAGTTGTAGTTCTAGGATTTATAGTTTGCCTAAAATCAAAGAGCATGCTGAACTCCACCAACGATGGAATTGAACCAAACTTGGCACACAGAACTCCCATGACCAGAAAATACTGGAAGGGTTTGGTAGGGGAATTGACCTTGAGTTTTGGAGTTGTAGTTCACCTACATCCAGAGAGCACTGTGGACTCAAATGATGGATCTGGACCAAACTTGGCACAGATAATCACTAAGTTCTTGTGGGTTTTTTCGGGCTATAGAGCCATGTTCTAGAGGCATTTCTCCTGATGTTTCGCCTGCATCTATGGCAAGCATCCTCAGAGGTAGTGAGGTCTGTTGGAATTAGGACAATGGGTTTATATATCTGTGGAATGGCTGGGGTGGGGCAAAGAGCTTTTCTCTGCTGGAGCTAGGTGTGAATATTTCAACTGACTACCTTCATTAGCATTTGAAGGCCTGCCTGAGCCTGGGAAAATCTCTTGCTGAGAGGTGTTAAGATGTGCCTGGTTGTTTCCTCTCTGTTGTTTTGCTGTTGTAATTTTAGAGTTTTTTAATACTGGTAGCCAGATTTTGTTCATTTTGATGATCTCTTCCTTTCTGTTGAAATTGTCCACATGCTTGTGGATTTCAATGGCTTCTCTGTGTATTCTGACATGGTGGTTGTGAGAGTGGTCCAACATTTCTGTGTTCTCAAATATATGCTGTATCCAGGTTGGTTCATGGGGTGCTCGGTTATGGCTGACTTCTCAGGCTGAATTAGTCTGTAATGCCTTTCATGTTCCTTGATTACGTGTCTGGGCGCTGCGTTTGGTGGTCCCTATGTAGACTTGTCCACAGCTGCATGGTATACGGTAGACTCCTGCAGAGGTGAGAGGATCCCTCTTGTCCTTTGCTGAACGTAGCATTTGTTGGATTTTCTTGGTGGGTTTGTAGATTGTTTGTATGTTGTGTTTCCTCATCAGCTTCCCTATGCTATCAGTGGTTCCCTTGATGTATGGCAGGAACACTTTTCCTCTGGGTGGATCTTCATCTTTACTCTCGTGGTTTGTTCTTGGTCTTGCAGCTCTTCTGATGTCTGAGGTGGAGTATCCATTGGCCTGGAGAGCCCAGCTGAGGTGGTTCAGTTCATCTTGGAGGAGGTGGGGTTCGCAGATTCTTTTTGCACGGTCTGCCAAGGTTTTAATGGTGCTTCTTTTTTGACTTGGGTGATGGTTGGAGTTTTTATGTAGATATCTATCTGTGTGTGTGGGTTTTCTGTAAACGGTGTGACCCAATTGTTGATCTGGTTTGCGGATGACTAGGACATCTAGAAAAGGCAGTCTTCCTTCATTTTCTTTTTCCATGGTGAACTGGATGTTTGGGTGGATGCTGTTAAGATGGTCCAGGAACCTGTTGAGTTCTTCTTCTCCATGGCTCCAAATGGTGAAGGTCACACCATATATCTAAATGTGAACACTGGTGGAGTTTGGGGGAAATAGACCTTGACATTTGGGAGTTGTAGTTGCTGGGATTTATAGTTCACCAAAGAGCATCCCGAACCCCACCAACGATAGAATTGGGCCAAACTTCCCACATAGAACCCCTATGACCTACAGAAAATACTGTGTTTTCTGATCATCTTTGGTGACCCCTCTGATACCCCCTGGTGACCCCCCCAGGGGTCCCGACCCCCAGGTTGAGAAACGGTGATGTAGACTATTGAACAAAATACACATATGCATCGGTCGCCTCTCTCTGACTGAAAAAGTGTTAGTAGACCTGAAGGATAGTC